TTTGATCCATGTGATTTTAATATTGTGTTGTTTGAGGATGAAGATGAAATTTCCTATTAGTCTTAGTTCTGATACTGCTTTTATGTCGTTTTCTATATAACTAGTATATTCTTTGATAAGCGTATCTGAGTCTGTTTCCAATATGAGGTTTGTCCCTAGTCCGCAGAAGGTTGAAGCTATTGTAGTGGCCAGAATTTCTGCTCTATATGCTGAAGTCTGACCCACTATACGAAACATCACTTTGGTTATAGTCTGATGTTTGTGTATGATGTGTATGCCTATGCCGCAGCTGTCTGGAAGTGAAAGTTGGTTATATGTACCATCTGTGTAGATGTGTGCTTGATTGTTGCATCTAGTGGTTTTGTATATCCCTTGTATATGTTCCTCTATACTTTGATCAAAAGTTATGTATTGCATAAGTTCCTGCATTATTCTTGGGAACGTTGGAATATCTATTGCTTCTATTTGTTGGTTAGGTTCGTGCATATATCTGTTCAGGCTGTTTGGCGAAATCTGTATTCTTGGCTGCCTTGACGAACCATTGTGGCTAGAAAATCTTGATATGTTGATTACTAGAATGCTATATGCGTTATGCTTGTCAATATGTATACAACAAAATGGTTCTCTTTTGTCAGTTTCATTTGTAAGATGGCATCCATAACATACGGTGACAGGTGAGCTATTCATTATGTTGTAATGTCTCACTTTGATCGATGTTTCTGTGGAGCTGATTCTTTTCTCTATTATTATAGAGTTATTGCATAGGGTTGCGTATCATATTGCTCCAGTTTTTTGAGTTTCTGCCAGTTCGATCTGCAAAATTGAGTTGAGTGTTGGTGTGAGGGAATTGATTGAATTAAGATTTGTGATTTGCTGACGCAGGTATTAAAACCATCCTGGTTCTCTTTTCTTTTTAATTTTTCTGTGGAGATTGTCAATTTGATGCTATTGTAGTATTACAGTTTGATATGTACTAAGAAGTTGTTCTATCCAGATTAGTCTATGTGATCTCAATGCTTTCCTATATCTGTTATACCAATCTTCTTCAATGAAATCTTAGATATATCGAAGATTTGTTATTCTATTTTTTGAATGCATCTTCTTACTGACAAAAAACCCGTAATCTTGTAGATTAAATAGAGTGTCTTGTAAGAAGTTTGTTTTGGCTTGAAAAATGTGTGGACAATTTGTTAAGATGTCTGCCTTTTGCCATGCATGCCATTGGAGGTGCTGAATTCTATTGCGGATAATGTCGCCTACTGGATTGTGACTTGCATATGTTTGTTGTAGGCTACTTATATGTTTTTGCATTTGTCGAGTTTGTATCTTCATTAAGCCATATTGGTTATAGAGATGGAAAATTGAATTTGGTGCAGTTAGAGCTAATTTTGTTGTGTTTTTGAAACTTCTTCAGATTCTTCTATCGATCTTTTGACATTCTGTTTCAGATAAAACCAGGTCTTGAGTGAGATATTCTATTGTGGGGAAAAGTACGTGGTTGATGATGTATTTGTGTATCTTGTCCGTCACAATTTTCCTAGAAAGCATGTTGCATATAGAGTTTGTTTTAGTTACAATCAGTTTCTGTTATTACGTTTTTCCTTTCTTTCCTTCGTGCCATACTCCAGAAACCTTATGGCATTTATTTTGTTGGCAGGTATAATCTTGTGTTGTTTAACTGTGATGCTTTCTTGCTTCACGTTTAGAATCATTAATTCTGATTTTTGTGAATTAACTGTGATGTTATTCAGAGCATAAAAGGATGAGCTAATTTTGACAATGTCTTCTAGCTCTTCTTTATTGCCTGTAATGAATGTGGTGTCGTTCATGTATGCTAGCACTGAGACGTTGATCTTGAGAAGTGACATGTTGTCCAGTATCAGTTTGTTACTCTGGAGTTGATAGCCTTTCATACTGTTTATCTTTGTGATGAGCGGATCATAGTATATTCTCCACAGTAAAGGTGAGATTGAGTCCCCTTAGTCGATATCTTCTTTAACTGGATACTAGCCTGTGTACCCGTAGTAGGTAATAACTCTGTTCTGTCAGTCCTTGAAACATTTCTCGATGAGATTGATGATTTTTTGTGGAATTTTAATTCGTTGCATTGCTTCTGTGAGTCTTCGCATGTTCACTGTGTTGTATGCTTTGCTCATGTCCTGAAATAACATGTAGCAAGGTTTCCTGGTTTCTCTAGCGTCTTCCAGAATGTGATTCACTATTGCTATTGGGTTCCTAGTGCTTAGACCAGGGAGTGCGGCCCAATTGTATGGAGATAGTATTGTGTGCTTTGTGAAGCTTTCTGCTAGCCGCTTTGTAATGATTTTAGTAAAAATTTTCTTGATTGATTCCAGAAGAGTTATAGAATGAGTTATGTTGATGTTATGATGCCATTCTTTGGGTTTGGGTATGGGATATATTGTACCATATTTCCATTCCTTAGGAACCTCTTCTCATTTCAGTATGGTATTAAAGAAAGAGACTAGTACCTCATGAAGATCTTTATCTAAATGTTTGAATGCTGATAGGGAATGTTCGATAGTCCAGGAGCGGACTTGTTGCTGGTGTTTTTGATCACGTTTGTAAGTTCCTTGGTAGAAATTGGCTTGTCTATGTCTTGATATAATGCTGCATTAATGTGAGGCCTTGGTTCATACTCTTTGTGCTATATGGTATCCTGTGTTCTTGGAGGGATCTCTGTTCGGTCCAGTTTTCGAAATAGGAGCAGATGTGTTTTTTGATTGCTATAGGGTCTGTTATGAGGTGTATGTCTCCGTTGGTTTGATGTACCAACCTGTTTGTGAATTTATTAGTTTTTTCTTATCTTCCTTAAACCAATTATTGCGAAGATTTCTCCATTTGTTGATGTCTTCGGTAACTTTATCCTTTAACATCTTCTTCTTAATGGTTGTTTCTATTTGTATGATGTTGTCCAATTCCTTTATGATTTCTTCTGGGCTGTGTGATGCAATATTACATGAAAGTTTTACTTTTTCCTCTATTGCTTTACGAAGAGTATGGATCTTGTCGTAAACTACTTACTGTGGGCTTGTCCTTAGTTGTATAATCTGTCTTCTGTATTCTCTAAGTTGTAGAAGCAGTATGGGTTGAGTTGCTGCTATCATTCTTCTGTGTTTTCTTATTTTCTCTTTGAATTTGGGTATGTGTTTGTTGGCGGCTTTCAAA